TACTATCACAAAGTATCAACACAGCTACCATCAAATTTTTCTATAAAAGAATCTTGTCTAACAAGCATCTTAATCAACTTAATTTTCACAAATAGTTGCAACTGTCATCTTTTTTGATTTCATAAAGGATTGAACCAAATTTATTTTTTCTTATATTTTCAAGATATTGTTCATCCAATTATACTAAATATATAACCACTAATTACTTTGAAATCATTTGACAAAGTGTTTTGTATTAGTATAATTTTATTGGATCATAAGAAGAGATATTCTAAGAAGAATAAGAAAGGAAAAAACACATGGGCACTAAGAGAATACACGAGAAGTTTCCCTGGTCTCCTGACAAGTGGATATAGATCACTCGAAATGGAACGTAAGGCCTCCCGAACTAGGCTAACAAGTCTCTCACTGAGAATTAGGCCATCCGATCCAACCCTCATGATCAACTCATTCATTGAATATGGGAATGATGTGTTCCAATAATAATTGACTTAAAGTAAGTCAAGGGATCATAACCGCCTCTCCATAATTTGAGGAAGAATGACTTCTTCCTATCCATGTTTTATGGTAACAGAGCTAATGTAATAGTTTTAGCCTGTACCAAAGAGGCCCATCTAAATAGTCCAGCCTTAGAGCTGAGAAAAGATATCCAATTTTCTATAGAAGAACATATACAGAGCTTATCACCACTCCACGTGATTAAGCCATGCGTGTTTTCAATATCCCTTAAACACCACAAACAACCTTATAAATATAGGACTACTCTCATTGTACTTTTTATGAGTAAAATTGACATAGGTTGTGGGGACCGGTAAAACTGACTCGGACCTCAAGTTTCAATAAACATTAAGGAGATATATATGGTGATGACAATGTGTCGCGGTGCGAAAAAGTACTCGAGTGTACTAATGCTCGAAATAAACTACAGAGTGAGAACCAAAATTTTCATTTAAAGGGAAGCATCGATAAAATCCCTTTAAGGAGGAAATAATCGTCGTAACCAAATCGGGTTTAGGAGTCGGTTATATGAGGAGAAGGTATTAGCACCATTCACATCTGTCGTACTCAACAGAAACCTCCTAATAGGCTAAGGTTAAGTGTTTTCTTAAGGAATGTTTGCATATTTATTTATTTCTATTAAAAATATTTACAAAAGGGATAAAAGAGGGAAAATGTTAATTTTTTATTATTGTGCTCGAGAAGATTTCAAAATCTTGTGCCTACGTATTCCTAAATGCAACAAAAAGATTAGAGTCTCGTAGTTCATGATAAAAAAAGTTTATTTGTTGATTAATTTTAGAATAGTATTACATTTGAATGAATAACTTTTTGCTTGTATGCTCGCACAATGGAGACTGAAGCACTTTTTTGTATTTCATGTCGAAATGAATAAAACTATTCTTTTGATGAAAAGTTTATTTGAATGCACAAGGGAAAAAAATACTTTGATGAGTGAATGTTAATTTTGATTTTAAAAAAAGAGTCTTGTTTTTTGTTATTTTTGATTTTTTTTTCTAATTAAATAAAATGAATGAATATTTTTGTTTGTTTGTTTTTGTTGTGTTTTTTACACTTTACAAATAATATTTAAAATAAAATAAAAAAACTAAAATAAAATAATTTAAATGAGATAATAAAATAAATAAATTGAATCCAAGAGGATGCATAAGTGAAATAAGATATGTTGGTTAATAAAAGAAGTGTGTAGGGGGCATTTCGGGCCCAAAGCCCAAACTAGCAAACCCTAACTAAAAAAGCTAATCAAATAATAAAAGGAGTGTGTAGGGGACATTTCGGGCCAAAAGCCCAAACTAACAAATCCTAACTAAAAAAAACTATTCAAATAATAAAAGAAGTGTGTAGGGGGCATTTCGGGCCCAAAGCCCAAACTAGCAAACTCTTATTAAAAAAACTAATCAAATAATAAAAGAAGTGTGTAGGGGGCATTTCGGGCCCAAAGCCCAAACTAGCAAACCCTAATTAAAAAAACTAATCAAATAATAAAAGAAGTGTGTGGGGGCATTTTGGGCCCAAAGCCCAAACTAGCAAACCCTAACTAAAAAAACTAATCAAATAAACATAAATAAATAAATAAAAATAATAATGGAGGGAGTGTTATACCGAAAAAATAAAAGGAATACTTCTGTTTTTTTTTTTCCTCTAAATTTTTGTAGTGACTCGGTAATCAAGTATCTTATATATTAAAATTATTAAATCTTTTAGAATTTTTTGGATTCAAATTTAAAGATGTGTTTGTAATTATATTGTTTACTTTTTCTTAATTATTTTATTTTAATTATTTATTTATATAAAAAATTGTAACCACCTTTTAATATTTCATGGGTTTGTTAAAATTTTATGTAACTTCTATTTTCAATTAGACTTACACTGGTTTGTTAAAATTTTAATCCACACTCTACTTTTCATAGATTTGAATAGGTTTTTAATATTTTAATTATTTTTGAATTATTTTTAAAATTTTATGGATTTTTAAAAAATAATAATTTAAATCCTAATCCACACCCCACATTTTATGAATTTGAATAGGTCAAATTTCATCTATTTTCAATTAGATTTACATAGATTTGTTATTTTTTAAATAAAATTAAATAGAATTAATCAAATGTTAAAAAATAAATGATTTTATCTTATATATTAAAGTTGTTAAGTTTCTTAGAATTTTTTGGAGTCAAATTTAAGAATATGTTTATAATTATATTGTTTACTTTTTTCTTAATTATTTTATTTTATTTTATTTATTTATTTGTATAAAAAATTGTAACCGCCTTTTAATATTTCATGGGTTTGTTAAAATTTTATGTAACTTGTCTTTTCAATTAGATTTACACTGGTTTGTTAAAATTTTAATCATTTTATACTTTTAAAATTTTACTCCACACTCCACTTTTCATTGATTTGAATAGGTTTTTAATATTTTAATTTATTATTATTATTATTATTATTATTATTATTATTATTATTATTATTATTATTATTATTATTATTATTATTATTATTATTATTATTATTATTATTTTATTATTATTATTATTATTATTACTATTATTATTATTATTATTATTATTATTATTATTATTATTATTATTATTATTATTATTATTACTATTAATACTATTATTATTAATACTATTATTATTATTATTATTATTACTATTATTATTATTATTTTATTATTATTATTATTATTAATACTATTATTATTATTATTAATATTATTATTATTATTATTATTATTATTATTTTATTATTATTATTAATACTATTATTATTATTAATACTATTATTATTTTACTATTATTATTACTATTATTATTATTATTATTATTATTACTATTATTATTATTACTATTATTATTATTATTACTATTATTATTACTATTACTATTATTATTATTACTATTATTACTATTATTATTATTATTATTACTATTACTATTATTATTATTACTTTTATTATTATTACTATTATTATTACTATTATTACTATTATTATTATTATTATTACTTTATTATTATTATTATTATTATTACTATTATTATTATTATTACTATTATTATTACTATTATTACTATTATTACTATTATTATTAATACTATTATTATTATTATTATTATTACTATTACTATTATTATTACTATTATTATTAATACTATTATTATTATTATTATTAATATTATTACTATTATTATTACTATTATTATTAATACTATTACTATTATTATTAATACTATTACTATTACTATTATTAATACTATTATTATTATTATTATTATTATTATTATTATTACTATTATTACTAATACTATTATTATTATTATTATTATTATTAATATTATTATTATTATTATTACTATTATTACTATTATTATTATTACTATTATTATTATTATTATTATTATTATTATTATTATTATTATTATTATTATTATTATTATTATTATTATTATTATTATTATTATTATTATTATAATAAAAATAAAAGAATATAAATTGAATCTTGTAACTGTAATTGTAAATGCTAAAACTTATATATTTATAATAATAATAATAATAATAATAATAATAATAATAATAATAATAATAATAATAAAACAAAAGATTTTATAGTTAATTTATGCAAGAAATAATGAAAGAATGTGATAAATTGACAACAAATTAAAACATCAATATTTTAACACCAACAAGATGATCATCGGATTTCAGGAAAAATGAAACAAAATTTAGAGAAGGAAAAAAAGTGTTGTGTTGTGATTAGAATTGAACTAGAAATTTATTTTAAAAAATAGAAGAAGGGGTGAGAAATAGAAACACCTTGGCTGATTAACAATTCCCTAAAGAACTAAAGGTTTTTCTTTTTTCTTTTCTTGTTGTATGGTTTTTTTATCCCCATTTTTTGTAACACTGATTAAAATAAGATCAAATGATATTTTAATGAGAAAATCATATCAAATAACATCAAATTTTTTTTATCAGTAAATTGATAAATTGTGATCAATCAAAAGTGTGATAAATTGGGATCAATTAGAAACAGAGATGATAAAATGAGAAAGATTTTGATTTTTTATATTTTTGTGATATTTTTTTATTATTTTTTTACTATTTTATGATTAAAAATGAATAATAGTTAAAACATGCATACTTTAAAAAATAAAAATAAAAAATAATAATTGGTTCATAAAAAATAATATATACTCCAAAAAGTTAATATTTGGCTTTTTTAAAAATAAAAAATAAAATAAAAAACAATTGGATTCAAACTCACGACCTTGTGCTTGACATCCCTGCCCAACTACCAACTAAACTAATTTACTTTTTTTTAAATGCTCCTAAAAATAAGATAGTAAAAAAACATGCAGACAAAATTTAGGGTATGACAATTGTCTGTATGTAATTATCTTCAATCGGAGAAGATGGCGATTGTTAGTCTTCAAATTCTCATGATGGAAGGTAATTAAATATAGAATGGCCCCAATTTTGTTCACCGAAGGAGTATTGAAGAAAACATCTGAATATGATAGGGTGGAAGATTGTCGCCAACCCAAGGATCGATGCTTAGATTGAACATAAAGAGATTGTCGCCTTCTCGAGGGTCGGTGCTTAGATCGAACATAAAGAGATTGTCTCCTTCCCGAGGGTCGACGCTTAGATTAAACATAAAGAGATCGCCGCCTTCCTGAGGGTCAGTGCTTGCATCGAACATTAAGAGATTATCGGCTTCCCGAGGGTCGATGCTTAAATAAAAAACAAAGAGATTGTCGTCTTCCCGAGGGTCGATGCTTAGGTCGAACAAAAAGAGATCGTCGCCTTCCCGAGGGTCAGTGCTTAGATCAAACATCAAGAGATCGTCACCTTCCCGAGGATCGGTGCTTAGATCGAACATAAAAAGATTGTCGCCTTCTCGAAGGTCAGTGCTTAGATCGAACACAAAGAGATCATCACATTCCCAAGGGTTGGTTCTTAGATCGAAAATAAGAAGATTGTCGCCTTCCTGAGTTTCAGTGCTTAGATCGGAAAAAAATATTGTCGCCAATGCGGGGGTCAATGCTTAGATCAAACAAAAAGAGATTGTCACCTTTCTCAAGGTTGGTGCTTAAATCTAACAAAAAGAGATTGTCGCCTTCCCGAAGGTTGGTGCTTAGATCGAACATAAAGAGATTGTCGCCTTCCAGAGGGTCAACGCTTAGATCGAACTTAAGGAGATCGTCGCCTTCCCGTGGGATGGTGCTTAGATCGAACATAAATAGATTGTCGCCTTCCCGAAGGTAGGTGCTTAGATCGAACATAAAGAGATCGATGTCTTCCTGAAAGTCGGTGCTTAGATCGAACGTAAATAGATCTTCATCTTTCTAATGGTCGGTGATTAGTGTGAGGGAAAGGTACCTCTACTCTTGTTTTAATGATGTCAAAACATTCTTCGGATCTTACATTTGTGCTCCTAATATTGGTTAGTTCTTTGGTGAATTTACATTTGGGAATGGATGTCATGAAACTCCTTTAAATAAAGCATTTTTGACCACTTCAACTGTTTGCGTCGACTCACAAAGTTGGTGGGCCGACTCACAGATTGATCAAGGACTATGCACCTCGCGCGGGACTGCTCGCGTCGACCTTTCTGGTCGAATCATACTGGGAGTGAAATTCTTTCAAGTTGTGTCGATGCATACCCTGGTGTGGTCGATGCATCTCTTACTTGTGAATCATCTCATCAAGCTCGGGTTCGCTCAGGTCGACCCCCCAAGTTATATGAGTCGATGCATCGCTGAAATTTTCGATTTTTGTGCTCTGTTATTGGTCTCGCTTAAAGTGAAACATATTAATATTGGTTTGTGTTCGTCATTTGGGGTTAACCAGAAAATGTGAAAGTATACACACAACTTCTCAGCATCTTCATCCTCTCCTTGCATTCATCAACAATTACACATAACAATTTGTGTTGATCAAAGTGCAGAGCTGTGGTGATAACGTTCAAATTGAAGAATGGAATTCAGATTTGGGTTGAGAATTGAGTGGTTTTTTCTTGAATAAAATCGTTATGGTATTTTCCTCCAAGATTCGTGTTGGTTCTGGATTTGTGCACAAGTCTTTGCTTCATTGAACTCAGTCGAGTAAAAGTGTTGAGAAATAATGGGTTTTCTCAATCAAGTAGCGGTAACCGGAGGATTGTGAAGAAATATTTGGGGTCAAATGTCTTGTGATCAAAATCAGTCGAGTAAAATATTTGTAGAATGAAGAGTTCATGCAATCAAGTAGTGGTAACCGAAGGTTTGTTCGAAGAGTTTGGCATACTTGGTTTGGCTTGAACTAAGGGGAGAGAAGGATATAGTTTCATCTTCAACAATTGGTTCGTATGTAGTAAAGACTATTGCTTCTCTTGTAACACTTTGCAACTTAATATCATATATCTCAATTATAGATTTTAGAATTTGGGACAGACGTACGCTACGCGAGGACGACAAGGGGAACTGCCTTAACAAACCGTGTGTTGTTTCTCTTTCCCTATCCTTTTATTTTCATTTGTCATAATTTGTGTGATATCTGTTATTCAATCATTTTACCGTGATTGTAGTGAGTCAAACTTAGTTTACAATAATCATATCAATCACTTTGATTGTTATCAAGGAAAATTCATCACTACAATTAAGTAAAATTGAACTTGTTGTGTTTTTGCACACTAAGTGTTTGATAAATTGACTAACACACAAATTAGTGATATTGTCAAGTTTTATCTTAAACAATTAATTGGAAGTAGTATGTACTTATTGATATTGTTTAAGTGATTGATTAGTAAGTAATTGTATTGGTTTATTTCTTATCATAAGAACTCCATTTGGTTTCGCATATCTGATCTTTTCAATAACGGATCGTTTAGACGGTTTTTATTCCAGAAGCTTTCACACCATTTCAAAACAAAATTTAAAAGCGATTTTTTTTATAAATAAAGGATCTATTCAACCCCCTTCTAGATCCGCCTCATCTTCTAACAAGTGGTATTACGAGTGGTGGTTTATCTAGTGCTTCACATATAACTTTTTAGAAAATCAAGAATGATCCAAAAGGGGCGTACAATAGAGTGTCTATTTTTACCGGTGAAAATTATAGTTGTTGGAAAGATTGTATGTGGGTGCCTATCAACTATGTTGATAGAAAAATATGGAAAGTCATCGAGAATGGTAATATCGCAATAACCATGACCGATGTGGCTGGTGCCACCATACCTAAACCGGAAGCACTATGGAAAGAGGATGATGAGAAAAATTATAGCTATTATTGGAAAGTTAAAAATATGCTCATATCATCTTTGGGTGTTGATGAGTATTTTAGAGTGTCCCATTGTGCTACTGTTAAGGAAATGCGGGACGCATTACAAGTTTCCCGTGAGGGGACTAATGATGTCAAATTAGATAGAATCAATACTTTAACTCAAGAGTTCGATCTCTTTCACATGAAGCATGGTGAAACCATTGCGGACATGCAAAAGAGATTCACTCATATAATCAATCGCTTACGTACACTTGGTCATACCACTTCCAATGTTGTTGCTACTAATAAAATTTTGAGATGTCTTAATAGGGAATGGAAACCTAAGGTCATGGAAATCAAGGAAGCTAATGATCTAACGACACTATATGTTACAACATTGTTTGACAAGCTTCAAGAACATGAGCAAGAGCTCATAAATCTCAACAAACACGAAAATAAGGAAAAGAAAGAAAAATGAAGGGACATGGAAAATAAGTCTATCGTGTTAAATGCTTCAAGCTCTAAGTCATCCACCAAAGATTCGTGTGGAAGTGATTCAAGTGATGATGATGTAAGTTTGAATGAAGATATGGGGTTATTCGTGAGAAAGTATCATAGGTATCTACAGAAGAATGAAGTCCAACATTCGGAAAAGAACCTCATCAACTATAAAAATCAATCTAAACCCTCAAAGCAAGACGAAAGTAAGAAATCTAAGTCAAAAGGATAATGTTACAATTGTGGAAAACCCGGTCACTACAAACTGGATTGTCCATTGTTCAAAAAAGACAAAGGAAAAGACAAATATCAAAAGAGATCAAATAAAGCTAGGAGACCATATATTGCATGGGAGAGCAATAGTGAAACTTCAAGCAAAAGCGACTCTAGTGATGAAGAAGAAACGGTCAAATTTTGTCTTATGGCTCATCAAAAGAAGAAAAAGAATGTAAGTAATTCTAAATATGGTCATGTTGATTAAATGCCTTACATTAAATTGCAAAAAGCCTTTGATACTCTACATAATGAGGCTAAGGAAGCTTTTAAACGACTGACCTCAAATAAGAAAAAAATTTCTTACCTTGAGAAAAAGGTTTCTGATTCGGAAAAGGAATTGAAAACTCTTAAGGTATCTATGGTAGAAGTTATCAAAGGCAAAAGAGAAAATGACAAAAGTTTTTGGTTTACATGGGTTGGATGTGAAACTTGTCATATTTTGTAAAGAAAGGTTAATATTCTTAAAGCTAAATTAGACAAGGCTTTACAACCTAAAATTATGTATGCTATTGCGATCGAATTTTAGAAGTAGCATGAATAATCCTTATAAAAAATACACTTATGAGATAAGGAATCGATCTAGAAAAAGTAATTCTCCCTAAAGATATTTAATGATAAAAACCCTAAAGAAACTAGGTTAATTATTTCAATTAATTTAATTTTTAAAAAAAAGTTAATATAATTAATTTAATAAAAAAAGTCAAGTTAATTTGATTTTAATTAATAAAAGTTAAGTTGATTTAGTTTAAATTAATTAGAGAAGAAAGTTAATTATGTTAAATAAACAAAAAAAGAAATTGAAACAAAATAATAAAAAATGATGGGCCTGCAGAAGTAAATCTGGGGGGTGTGAGAAATAGGAACCACTAGGCCCAAACCAGGAGCCAATGCGTCTGTGATAATCCAGCGTGGCTGGCTCCAAGGGACTCATGGTGCACATGCAAATATGGGGAGCTGGATGGTAGTGTAAACATCTGATGGTGAGGAGTTGAGAGCGCAGGGTGAGCGCGCTGGGCTAGCAGGCATTGGATATGCAAACAAGAAATCATGAAAATAAAATGTCAAAATACTAGGGGCAGGGATCAAACATGTGCCCTGATATATTAACGCCTTACAATGGTCACTTATATCGCTGGGGCGGTCTTTACATCTGTTCATATAAATCAAACCATAAAAATAAGTATACAACATGATTCTATTGGCCGGAGCCCTAGCTCCAATCGTCTTCTCTGACAGCTTGTAACATACAGAACCTGCAAAATCAATGCGTTAGTGATCAAAATCATCCTAGTACCCCTAATTCGATCCTCCTGAATCTGATTATGGACTTAGTTTTGGCTATAGGTCCTTGTATCATGAGTTTCGAATCAAATGAAACCGATCGGAGCAAGCTATGGTATCTCACAACTTTAACTGCATGGGATCCCAATACCAATCCAAACCTGTTCAAAAATAACTCAGGAACCTTTTAATAACATTAGTGCATGCTAAATCATAATGGAAACAAGAACTCTAAAAATTAAAATAATAAAAAATGAAAAACATGATGGTGCATGTATGCTTATTCAAGCCCTTAGGATCATGGTAACCAACCCAACCTTACCCTTCAATATTCTTGGAAGTGAAATGAATGGAGATTTCGCAATGAGGAGGCTTGTAAAGAGAGTTTTGGAGATTTAGGGTTTCTGGAAAAAAATTGGATGTTTTTGACAACTTTTGAGGCAAGCAATTCGTGTCCCCCTTGCATCTGATCTCTTGTGCTTATATAGAGGTAGGATTGGGGTGACAAGAATGGTACAAAATCATGTAATTATGGCCAACATTTAGACAAGAATCAAACATGTTTTCAAGCTTCCTTTTTGATATATTTCTTGCCATTTTGAACTCACACGTTTTTTCATGGTTGTCATGATTTGTCTTGGGCCTCCAACTGATCCAAAAAACCTATCATGCGCCTTGGCCCAATGATTTTATATTTTACTTGATTTATTTGAATTTAAATGAATAAAAATTCAAATAAAAGAAATAAAAATCATTAAAAAATTTGAATGGATTTAGAGATCCTATAATACATTGTGAAGATGTTTGAACATAAAAAAATAGGCCTAATAGCTCAAAATCACAAGTTTGCTTAATTTGGAATTCATGCATTCTACCAAACTTTCCCAACTTGAAATGGTCATAACCCTATCAATTTTCATCTCTTGAAGGTGATTCTTGAATTTTAGAAAGCTTAAGATGTCCTCTACAATTTCTCTTTTGATAATTT